GAAAGAAAGGAGACAGTAAAATTACTCCGTAGGAATCGGACTAGGTGGTAAACACATACCACAATCCCTTTCCTGTGTGTGTGCGTGTCACTGACACACGTGTCAGGATACCCCTTGTGCGTGTTAACAGACACCCTTGGCCTGTCCGTACCAAAGTTGGTTTCAGGTTTTCCGAGACATCTCTTCTTACAGCCCGCAGTGCAGCGCGTAAGGCTCACACCACCCCCAGCATCGCAGGCTAATAGAGACGTCGGATTTTGATGGCTGTAAGGCTTCTGCGCTTCTTAAAAGCAGAACTCAATTACTGTTGCTGTGTTTTGACAAGTTCTAAATGACTAAGAGAAGCAGCGGAGGTATTTTGGCACGGCAGTGGCAGTGGTTTAGTTCACCTTTGTAATTCGGTTTGGGGCAGGTTTTTCTCTGCTACTGTCTTGGTTTTCTTTCTTCATTTGTTTTCTTTTGCCATGTTAATCATTCTGGCTTCCAGCTCTGTGGAAAAACTTTCTTCATGTCAAAAATGTAATGGAGCCCATTCGGTTCCCTGGCTTTCCTACTGGATGTTCCAAGATTTATTGTTATTTACCATCTTACTACAAGAACCACCCCTGAAGTGGTGAACTCTCCCAGAAAAATTACTTGCTTATTAGAAAATGATTCATGCCCGTCCCGAACAAGGCAGTTCTCTTTCACCAGCATCTCTCTCAGGGCGTGAATGCCCATAGCGGGCAGGAAAATGTGTCTGTGAAGTGTTTCAGCAGCGTGGGGAGCCCCGGGGTAGCTGTCACTGTTTCCATTCTCTAAACCATTTTAATGCCATTAGCAAGTGTGATTATGTACAAACCGCTTTCTGGGGGGTTCCGAGGCTGGATATCAGAGCAGGGCTTTGTACTGAGTCAAAGGGTGGATTGAGTTTATGACACAGTTTAAACAGAAAGAGGAGAGCAGTGCTACAGTAGAGCCGCACGTCGTAATTCATTCAGTATCGGTTTGTGATGGCTGTTGGGGGAAGTCCTCGCTTCTTACTGGTTTGTTCTATTTGAGAACATCTCTCAGGGTCACACACGAGTATGTAGCTGAACACAGAGGGTGTTAACACTGTTTTTTTGCTGCTTTTTGGGTTTTGTTTGAAACAGAAAGGAAAAGAGGAAGGAAAAGGAAAGAAGAGCGTAACTGGTAGGTCTCTCTTTAAATTTAGACTACTCTTTATATTCCTTCATTTTTCTGCTTAGCTATTTTTCAAAGAGGAGGCATCTATACAGAAAGAGGTACTATGCTGTATTTTGTCATCTTGTTGTAAATAAGACATATTTATTCTGTTTATTGCATCCCAGAGCTGATTTATTACCATTTATGTCTCCAGATGTGATGTAACTATGAAGACTTCAGTAAATGCCTTGATTTGTGAGCACTGTTTAGCTTCTATGGTCCGGTATAAACTCACAACTGTATTTTATTAGGTTTTAATAGCATTTGACATAACAGCAAAGTTCTGTAGCTGATGAAAAGGCTTTTTTATCATCACATTTATCATCAACGTGATCACAGCACAGAAGCAGCAGGCGAGGGGTGTGGGAAGGCTTGCACAGAGGCATAAAGTGGGACCACTTTAGAGAGCACAGCGCAGATACCATCTCCCGAAGCCTTTTTTTGGGATCAATGTAAGCCCCAGCTGCTGTCTCGCTCTCTTCATAGGGCGACTGCCCTCTACTGACTGAAACTGCCTTTCCAAGTGCTGGCGTTGCTGCAGTGCTGATGGTAGGGATATGCAGAGGTAATTTCTCTTCTCAGCCCAGATGATGCTCTCGGGGGAAGCAGCGAAGTTTTTGGTCACACAGTCCCTTCACCAGGTCGCTGTGCTGACAGACACGAGGGAACCTTGTTGCTTGTGCAAATAGCAACTGACAAGACACTTCTAATTTCCCCCTGCCAGCTAAATAAACCAGCCAGAGGCCAGCACTGGCTCTGTGAGCATGAATGATTTTTAGATCCGAGAAGCAGCATGAGTGAGTGGTGCAATTTAGACGGAGATTCCTGTGTCAGGAGTGTTTCAACTGTAATTTGTGGGAATACCTCTGGTATGAGGCACATGAGAGCAGACTGCTTATAAATATGTGTTCTTAATGATGGGATCTGCTAGCTGAGGCACAGCGTAACTGTGATTTAACCTGTTCTTAGCTTCTAACTGGGAGACCAGTAAAGGTTTCTGCATACAGCCCTCACTGTCGTAGGTAGGACAATTAACAGTTGTACTAGTGTATATTGTCTTTCTGGAGATGGAGGGGTATCATTTGTCCCTGTTACCTTCTTTTTCTGTGTTTTCCTAATCACTGTTACACACGAGTATGGTTGATTATACCAACATGAGACTACCTCATTTCATAGCTTGCAAAACCCAGCCACATCCAATGTTAGTCTCTGACATGGAAGGAGCCAGAGGAGCTGATGGTTTTCCTAGAATGCAAAAGCAAGTATTTTCCACTTTTGGGACATCCAAAATGATGCAATTCTGATTCATGTTTAAAATGGCCTGTGTTTTCCAGCATGACTTGCCCATCAGGTATAGAGCTTAACCCTTCTAGAACAAAATACATCCCTTTAAAGTTGTCCTGGTTGTTAAAGAAGAAATTAGCAAGAGAATGTCTGGTCAATTCTGGAAGAATCAGAGAATCAACCGGGTTGGAAAAGATCATCAAGTCCAACCTTTGCCCCAGCACTGCCAAGGCCACCACTAACCCATTTCACTGAGGGCCTCATCTACATGGTTTATGAACACTTGCAGGGACGGTGACTCCAGCCCTGCCCTGGGCAGCCTGTTCCAATGCTCAACAACTCTTTCAGTGAAGAAATTGTTCCGAATATCCAGCCCAAACCTCCCCTGGTGCAGCTTGAGGCTGTTACCTCTTGCCCTGTCACTTGTTACTTGGGAAAAGAGTCAGTACTTGCCTTTGTGGGCATCAGTAGCATCAGCTCTGTTCACCTACGTCTGGTTTTTGGAATGGGAATGTTTTGATATTGTGCATGAGTCAATTGATGTTTTGAATATTGTGTGCCTTAATTGTAGCCCCTATTCCCAAAAAGGATGCTACAGGTAGCAATCTTTGAGTTGGACACCTTTGGACATTAGCAGCCTGTAGCTTGAGAAGTCTTTTTGAGTGCAGGTTAGGGATGGAGTATTCCTACAAAAAGCATTGGAAAGAAGTATTTTTCTGGTTTATTCTTAGATAGCTGTGGTCATCTCCTGTGCGATTTGCTTTGGTTTCCTGGTTTGAGGTATTTCAGGAATGATCCTGCAGTTGTGATCAGTGTAACCTCAGCAGGATTTTAAACATGCGTAAGCTCAACATAATAGTGAAGTATTGTTTGAATAATCTTTGTGTGAGGGAGATCCTGCCTGCCTTCTTGCCCAGGGCAATGCCTCCTGCAGCGATTCAGCTGTATGGCTAATTTTCAAATACACTAAAGTTGCACGTTTTCTTGACACAGTCCTAGTGCACGCTGTTCTCTGCAGTCTGAAGCACTCTGCCTGTGGTTCATAAACACATTTACAGTCCCATTTGCCTCCCTGCGCTCAGAGGGGGGTGGGTTGCATTAGTAATTAATTGAGTTTCTAAAGGAACAAGCCAGTATGTTAACTGAAGATTCCATTGAGAATTGTAAATTCACTTCATTAGCTGCCCGTGTGTACTCATACCACCCTTTCTCATGTAAGCCTAGGGGAGAGCAAGTGCTACGTGGAGCAGAAACCTTCCACTGCTATGAGTTGCAAGGGGAAGCAAGTCTCCTGTGTGGTCATGTTCTGCAACAGCTCCTGTCCAGGTTATCTTCTTTGTCCACCCTCCTGTTCCTGTGCTCAGCTTGATGTCTCTGGCTAAGAGAGCAGATGGTGTGAGGTGATTTAAAGATCTCTTTCAGCAGAGCCAGAGAAGAGGTGGGAGCTTTCAGAGACTACTGTAATCCAGCGGAAGACTTTGACTCCTTGCAGGAGCTCTGGTTTCTGCATGCAGGGTCTGAATTTTCATTACACTGTGTGAAGACAGACACTGTAACTCCTCACTGATGTCAGCTGGAGTTGGTGGCTCAGCACGCCTAAGGGTTAAGTGCCCTGTGTTTCAGCGTTAACCTGGGGCACGTGTTTCAGGATCCAGGTTAAGGCATTAGTTTAACACTGAGAAAAGTACTTAATGATAGTTGGCTCCAGTCAAATCACTTGGTCCTTACTATATTATACCCAGTTAGCAAGCCATTACTTAGCAGGGTAGATTAATCTTGCAACATGTTTGGGTAAGTAACTGGACTTTCTTTTTGCTTTCCACAGACTGGCGTTCAGGATGGCAGGCTTGTCCACTTTAATCCTCCTTTTGTGTGCTGCTAAAGATGTGATGCCCTCCAGTTCTCACTGGAAGCCAACTTGGCCATCTTACAGAGTTCCAGTTATCCTGCCACAGTCTACCCTTAACTTGGACAAACCACAGTTCGATGCTGAAGCCAGACTGGAAGTGGTATCTCCCTGTGGCCCAGCTTGCCACAAAAGTTCTCCGCTGCCAACTTATGAAGAAGTGAAGAACTACCTGTCCTATGAAACCTTATATGCTAATGGTAGCCTCACTGAAACAGAGGTGGGCATATATATTTTGAGCAACAGTGGCGATGGGTCTCAAGGCAAATCTCGAACTAAGAGGCAGATCTATGGCTATGACAGCAGGTTTAGCATTTTTGGGAAAGACTTCTTGTTGAACTACCCATTCTCCACATCGGTGAAGCTATCTACAGGTTGCACGGGCACACTGGTGGCTGAAAAGCATGTTCTTACTGCAGCTCATTGCATCCATGACGGCAAGAGTTACGTCAAAGGAGCTCAGAAACTGCGGGTGGGCTTCCTAAAGCCCAAACTGAAAGATGGCAGCAAAGGAGCCAATATCACCAACTCAGCAATTCCTGAGAAAATGAAATTCCAGTGGATCCGAGTGAAACGGACACATGTCCCCAAAGGCTGGATCAAAGGCAATGCCAATGACATTGGCATGGATTATGACTATGCCTTGCTGGAGCTGAAGAAGCCTCATAAAAGAAAGTTTATGAAGATAGGTGTGAGTCCACCAGCAAGACACTTGCCTGGAGGGAGGATTCACTTCTCTGGCTACGACAACGATCGTCCTGGAAACCTGGTTTACCGCTTCTGTGATGTCAAAGATGAAACGTATGACCTGTTGTACCAGCAGTGCGATGCCCAGCCGGGTGCGAGTGGGTCTGGGGTGTACGTGAGGATGTGGAAGAGGCAGGACCACAAATGGGAGCGTAAAATTATTGGAATATTTTCAGGCCATCAGTGGGTGGACATGAACGGCACCCCCCAGGATTTCAATGTAGCCGTTCGCATCACCCCCCTCAAATACGCACAGATCTGTTACTGGATCAAAGGCAACTACCTTGACTGCAGGGAAGGATAAAGACAATGAAACTCCTTGAAAGCACTTACTGACTGGTTTTAATTACTCATCTGAGGAAAGGCTAGACTTTTGCTGCAAATATCTGTGAGATGGTCTTGTAACGTGGGGATGCGAACCTTGTTCTTAGGAGAGGGGCTGTGTGGTGCTGCCACACGCTGGGGAGAAAGGGACCTTGGGTGGGGAAGGAGCAGGTGGACTTGTTGAATTTGCAGCTGAGCAACTCAAGATTAATTAGGGGCGGATCATTAAACAGCATGAAATCAGAACCGTCTCCAAAGAATCTCAAAAGGGACGCTGTTGACTATCTCATGTCTGCAATGTTTGTTTTAATAAATCCTAGGATTAGTAGAAATGCTTTGATCTGAACTTTAAAAGAAAATATTTCTATGCTGTTGGGGGCTGGAGAGGGGCATTTAATGGTGTTTGCAACTCAAACATCACAGCTTTGTGTTCCTGCATGAGAAAGGGAGTGTGAAAAGGGCAAGGCATGCGCTGTGGGAGATGAACGCCACACAAATAGCGTGAAGGGTAAATAACTGCGTAACATTTCTAACCTCCTTTCGGCCTGAGTGATTTGAGACTTTATTAGTACCAGAGTTAAGAAAAATGCTTTTTGAGCAAACAGACCTTGGCGTTGCAACGACTTGACTGTGAAGATGATCTTGGTCGTATGAGTAGTGCCATTGCATCCTGCCTTGGGAAACACAAAGTGTACATAGGATTAAATCATTATAGGAGCTGGGGCATAGTCTTTCACCTAGCAGGGTCCCTATGGATATACTGTTGCAGAAGGCACATGGGGACAGAGGCTTGTTTTCTGTTTTATGACCTACTTAGATCTTTTAAGGAAAAACTTGTGTCAGCAACTCAGATTTTCAAAGGAAAGCCTGTCTGTGGTCTTGATGGCCATCTGAATTGCTGCCTGCAAAGCAGGTAGAGTAGGACAAGGGTTCTACTGAGTTTTCCCCCTCTTTGTTAAGATCCATGCTGTTCTACCTACACCAGGTAGAGGGACCCTGGATTTATAGATGTCTCTCTATTGTATCCCTTTGCCAGTGTAATTTGTATGGCATCTTGACCTACTTTTCTCACATTGTTTGGGCTAGAAATCCTCTTCCCCATCAAACTGTCAAGTCACAAATAGTTCTTGGCAAATGCACTTGAAATGGAACCACGTTATAGGGTGCAGTCTGAGTTTGCTATGAAGTGATGCTCTGCTCTCATGGATGACAGTGACTTGCATTTTTACTTCAGCAGAAGTGGAGTTTAAAACAAGAACTGTCTTTTTATAGGTAAAATCAGTGCAGCCAAAAACCTGTAGCTCAGCAAACAGCATTGGAAAGTCAATGTGGTCTGTACAAACAGTTTCTCAGGTGGGTTGTGCCACCATATTACAGTAACATGGTTCAGTTCAATATTACTTTTTAAAACAGGAGGATAGACACTGCCTCCACTTCCAGTTTCTCTTCCACCCATCTCTCACTGCCTCCTTACCAAGTTGCTCATGGCTCTTGGTATTTTGGGGCAAATGCAAGGCCCTGGTGTGAAATGGCAGAGCTGGGAAGGAATGAATCTAAGCAGAGCTTCCCCATGCTATACAAATACAAGGAAAATGTTAAATCAGCTAAGCCTTTCTTACACTCTACTAATTACTATGGCATTTGTAAACATATGCCTGATGGTGCTTTATCTTCATGATGGCTTTGGCTCTAGTTCTGAAAACCAATTTTTCTAGAGCTGCCTGTGATTATTATTTTAATAGATGCAGTGTGCAAAACAATTGGACCCTCATGTGGGCTCTTGGTGCATTCAGATACAAGCAGTTACTAATGCTTTGAAATATGAATAATCATCATATGTATCTGATGGTCTTTTTCTGCCTCTTTATTTTAATTTCCTTTACTCTATGGCTGTTATCGGGAGCACTTTTGTTTGAATGTATCACAGTGAATAAAGAAAAGTTATGGAATTCCAATGCAGACAGTCTCGTATTTGTGCTATACTTGGGTTGTACTTTCAATTTCATTCCAGTTACTTATTTGTAAAGATAGATACGGATTTATTAATATCCTCAGTGCTGTTTATTTTCCTTCAATTTGCTTTTGTCCTCACCTGTTAGTAGTTTTTAAGGCATTTTTTTTCCAGTAGGTTTAATTACTCTGTCTTTGGATGGTAATAATCAATCTTAGCTTTTATATGATGGTTGCAGTTCCAAAGCCAGTCATGAGCTCAGATTACTTAGAGCTGAAAATAACCTATTAGACTAAAAAGTCATATTGTTTTTATTAACTGTAGGGTCAATAAACTATGGAGGAATTCGAACCCGTCAGCATAAGGTCATAAATCATGTCCATCTTCTTTTTCTTCTAGTTGATGCAGGAAGAAAAAAGCTCTTCTGACACCAGCAGTGAGACCCACAGTTTTTAGAGGAACACTGAAGTGCAGAAATGTTCTACTTTTTGATGTGGGAATTGCTACTTTTACAACTTGCCTTATCTCTGGATGTGCATGAGATCATGTGGGCTTGACAACATCGGTCCTGGTTCTTTGGACATATTTCCCATCCACTGGTCCTGTGTTCTCAACTGCTTCACTGGGCTAAAGATTAAGATTTTTTCCACAGAATCGTGCAATGCTTTAGGTTGGAAAAGGCCTTTAAGATCACCAGGTCCAGCTGTCACCCTCACACTACCAAGTCAACCACTAAACAAGCCACGTCCACAAACCTTTTAAATTCCTCCAGGGACGGTGACTCCAGCCCTGCCCTGGGCAGCGTGTTCCAATGCCTGAGCACCCTCTGGGGAAGGAATTGTTCCTAATATCCGACCTAAACCTCCCCTGGTGCAGCTTGAGGCCATTTCCTCTTGTCCTGTCGATTGTTACTTGGGAGAAGAGACCAACCCCACCTCTCTCCATCCTCCTTTCAGGTAGAGAGTGATAAGGCTCCCCCTGAGCCTTCTCCACACTAAACCCCCCGGTCCCTCAGCCCTTCCCCATCACACTTGTGCTCCAGGCCCTGCACCAGCTCCGTTGCCCTTCTCTGGCCCCGATCCATCACCTCAATGTCTCTCTTGTAGTGAGGGGCCAGAACTGAACACAGGATTTGAGGTGCAGCCTCACCAGTGCCCAGCACAGGGGCACAGTACATCTCTCATGATGACTGGCAGAGTGGAGCTGTGCAGAAGGCAAATGAACTAGAATAATGCGAGCAAGTGTTTTTAAAAACAAAATATATGGAGCAAGTTTAGTGTAATCAGGAGTGGGAGAGTCTCTTTGTACTGTACACCCTATGCAAACATTCCAGATTGGTTTTGGAAAGAAAAGGAAATCACAGATAACATGGGCAGAATTGTTCTAAAGCTCAGCATTGTTTCACTGTGCTCCCCTGAGTTGGTGGTAATTTTGCCAGCATATTCATTCTGAGTGGGGCTGGGCCATTGCTAGGCAGGTTTGGAAACTGCATTCCGAGTATACTTGCTTTGGTGGTGTAAAAAGGACTCTTTAAAAACCAGAACATTAACCTGTGAGAAAGATGGCTGTGCAGCCAAAATAGCTCACCAAGGAACCACAAGTAACTCAACTCTATGGAGGCATGACATGAGAAACTTCACTGTCCAGGTGATGGTGACTGCCAATGACCTGCAGAACTGAACCAAGTGCCTCAGTGTTCTCGTATCCTGAGGCAGAACAGCAGAGGGGTATAGAGGGGCTGTTCTGGTTGTGAATGGAAAGGACTAAAATCTGCTTCTGCATCTTTAAGAGGCTGACGTATGTAGAATTGTAGTTAATGTGACACAACTCCCTTGGAGAACAGTGTTGGAGGTGGAAACTGAAGGCTCGAGAATGCACAGACCATGCCGAGCTCTTCCAGAGCACACAGTGAACTTAGCCTACTGCAGGCTGCAGAGTATCATCAAGCTTCTTTCTCAGAGGAAAGGTATTTTCCTTGCATCTGTAATTGTTTTGCAACCGAATTCCCAGGCCTGCCTGGTTAGAGGGCAGCCCTCATCTGAAAGTTGCACGCTGAACTCCAAGCAAGTATAATACATGCTTGAAATTCTTGTCCGTGTTTCCACTTAATCTGCCATTTGTTAGCGGATTTTGGTAGCGTGCCAAGGCAACATGCACAGGCCTTGAGAAGAGAAGCTTTCAAAGAGTGGATGAAGTATGATGGGAGGGTAAAAACCATTTTGCTTCCCCTGGAGCAAAAAGGAAGCGTGGACAGAGAAGAGCAGCAAAGAGCGAAAGGGCAACATGATTCGTGTCCCACGAGCAAGATTCCTAGTGGGCTGGTTGCTGTGTATACATGCACATGTATGGGGGGCTGGGGGGTGGTGTTATGAATAATTCTGTTCCTTTCCATTCCCTGTTCTACTAGGTATAGAATAAAAAATAATGAGCTGAAGTAAATTAAAATGGGTGTGTAAATACCAAATCTGAAGCCAGTGTGCAGCACGTATGAGAAGTTTAGACTGTGGCTTGCCCATAGGTACACAAGCAAAGTGTCAGTGTCAGTAACATCAGAATTAGGAACCTGATCTCCCCCCACAAGATGTTTTCTCCTGTCTCACACAGTGACTACTATTAGGTTGCATGTGCTTTGTGCCTGCTGTTAAAGGCAGTGTGGGCTTTTATAGGTAAATGATTAAACAAGAGAAGAGAAACATCTTAGCATGCCCCAAACACTGTTATCAGCACTGATTATTCCCAGGATGAAATTAGCGGTGGTGTTTTGGCTGTGGATTGATTTTTGAATAGGTTGAGTCATGAAGCAGGCTCATACTGTTTTTTATCTAGAGATCTCTAACAGTAGTTAAGTGGTTGTGGCTCAAGGGGAGACAATGAATGTTCATCTGCAAATTTTTGTGGACAGTGTTTATTCTTGTACAATAAATTCCATTTAAAAGACAAGTATGTGTAAGCAGAGGTCTGCAAGAAGTTAAACACTTTGATTACTCACCAACCAAGTGCTCATGATAAAAAATACTCCATTTAAATAGCATATATATTGAAAATACCTGATACCTG